ACACATACACATCCCCTCTCTCTCTCTCTCTCTCTCTCTCTATATATATATATATATATATATATATATATATATGAGGAGGGATCCTTTTATTCCAAGAGTAAGTCTACTTAGACTTACTCCGTTCAATAACTCATGTTTTACATCAAATTTCAACGATCCAACCATTCAATTTAAAGTTCTTAATGCATAGATCAAATCTGAAAATTTTTAGAAAATTTGAAAATCATTTGATACTTCATTTCATTAATTTAAATTGACAGATAATCATAAAATTATTTTATACATTGATTCGAATTAATGAAACGAAGTATCAAATCATTTTCAAATTTTCTAAAAATTTGCATATTTGATTTATACATTAAGAACTTTAAATTGAACAGTTGGATCATTGATATACGCTTTTTCTTTCTTTGTTAACCTTAAGAACCCTTTGGGGGGGAGGGTTTGAGGATTGAGATTTTATTTAATGTGTAATTAATAAGTACTTCATATATATATATATCAATTACAATTATGTGTGTTACATATTGAATTACTTTTACATGTTTCTTTTATAATTTTCAACATATTTTCAATTTTAATTTGTGTGTGTTCGTAACAAATCTCTCATTAATCAGTGAGAGATATTTATATGTAATGAGGGAATTATTCCCTAGCAAAATATTCACAAGAGTTATAGAGTTAAATTCTAATTTTGTGGGAGATATATTTCCTTATAAATGTAGAAAAGTTCTCTCACAACTCCCTTGCAAAATCTTTTATTAAATTTGAGAAAAATAAATTTTATTTTTTATTCATAGGAATTATATTGTCAACAATAAAGTTTGGATTTAAGATCATATGCATACTATTCGGCCTTATACAAATGGTTTATGTAGTTCCATCATATCGTTCCAAACTTAAGAGTTTCCAACCTATGGGAAGAGGAATCTCCATAATGGCATCTACAAATGGGTGTCTTCTAACAGTAGCTTGACCATCAAGATGATAGTTATGGTTGTAACTAAAGTGTTGAGAATGATAGAAGTTTCCTTGAGTACTAACACATTCAAATTGATGTGTATTGGTGGGTGAAGCAATATTATGTTCCTCTTCTTCATGAGTTATGACATGACTGGATTCATTGCAGGGTTATTGAAGTTGTACTCATATATTATAACATTATGTGCATAAGACTTGAAGGTCGACCTCATGTTGTTGACACATAGCTTCGAGAGCCTCTTGATTTCGTTATCTCATCATCTTTATTTGATCTACTAGTCTGCATTGGGCTATGTTGTCTTCCATGGTCGATGCTCCAAGTTCTCCTTGTTTAGAAATTCCACGTACTTGACTTTGAGTTCAAACCATAGATGACTAAAGGAAAATTTAATTCATCCCCATGATGGGTGCCAAAATGTTCTTTAATAGAATGCAATAAGTTGGGATAAAACTCCTTGACCTATTCGAGCAGAAGATTTGCCTTCA